GAACCTGAATTGAACGCCACAGCAGTATAGCACTCCAAGACTGGTGAAGGAGTTCATGTGATATTATTTGGTTTTGGTGAGTAAATACAAGCAAAATGTCACGACAGTGTTGGAGAGAGGGAGGTGATTGGTTTGTCAACAGCAAGGAGAGCAATGCAGACGGTGTGTAAAAGCGCGCGCGCGAAACCTGAGAGTAGGCAGGAACCTGAGAGGACAGGAAGGTAGTCAAAAAGAAGATGGAAAAATAAATCACAAGAGGGATATTGAGAGCAGTGCGCATCACATGCACCTTGAGTAACAATCGCCGGTTAGGGCATGGCGTAGGGGAAAATTCCATTGATCATTGATTGACAATGAAAAATCATATAGGCCGTGAGTGATCGCTTCTTTGGTTAGATGATAATCGCAATCAGCTTCAGTGGTAAGGAGTTTAAATGGCCAGGGGCCACTTAAAAAGGCTCGGTGTGAAGAGGACGCCATAGTATGGAGCAAGAGTTTGGGCAGGAAGGAAGTGCGGCGGGAGGGTGGAGGATTGGGTGTAGGGCCAAGTTGTGAGTCTGTGAGGAACCACAACACGTGGTGAGGGACAACTTGGGTTAGCTCGGTAAGCAAGTTGAGGTAAAAAGGGGAATAACCAATAATGGTGCTCAGGTATTCAGTTTGTGCACGCAAGACCCGCTACAGAGTAGCGGGAATTGTAGTTCAGCAAAGTTGGGTTCCAACATCACGTCCTGTCGAATGCAACAATCGACAAGCAAACAGCTGGGTGAATGAATCGGGCCCCTCATTGGAGGAGAAGAGCAAGCCAATAGCGAGCATTCCGGACGAATGGTGACTGCGCATGCATATCGCAGACGCCTAATTCGCTGATCCAACAACAAACTGGGTCTGCAAATTGACAAGAAACAAGATGAGAGAACATGTCAGCGATGCAATCTTTCAGATGCACGACTCCTCCGATGACCCAATTACAGAATAAAAAAGGAAATCCACCTGCCGATATGCACGATTCAGCACGAGGTCAAGGTACGCGATTGTTCTGCAACACCCAAACAGCGGTCGGCCCCGGCGGACCAGGATCGCCATATCTCAAAATTGTGTGGAGCCATCTGCCACCAGGTGCACAGGCATCGAGTGAACCCAAAAGTAAAAGCAAAAGCGCGGAGTGAGAGATGTACAGAAGTTTGATATAATGTGAAAGCAAAAAACAAAAAAACACCGAACCAACAACTGCTCACTATGCCCAAAAATAACTGGTGCCGATAGACTGCAAGGATAATTCTCCAACGTAATGAAAATGGGTTATTTCAATGGTGTTTATGATGGGAGGAGAAGGGGCAAGAGTGGTGAACGGCATATACGGTGGTCGGCATCGGTGACGTTGAGTGAAGGTTGTTCGGCTTGGGTGGCAACGGCAACGAAAACCCTCATTAGCATAAGTGGCCCAACGAGAACTGTGGGACGGCGGAACGTGCTGGCAAATCAGGGTTTCGGTGGATGTGTGGAAGGCCGACCCGACCGCCACTACCGTCGGAAATAGATCTAGAACCAGGAGCGAAGAGTGAAAACGTCACGAGTTCAAGGTCTTGACAAGGCAAGTGCTGCACCGAACGCCGCTAACATGTTAGAAGATAAAACGGAGTCAAAGCTGAAAATGCTGCTCATTTGAACGTGAAGTCTACAAGTGAAGTCCAAACACTTTAAAATGACAGGTTATGACTCAGGCCAGGTGCGTTGTGGATCGTTGAGGGACTGTGGCTGCTAGGTTCTGGTCGACTCCAGCGAGTACGAGTTAGGTGGAGCTGGGTTCGAACTTCAGTCGTTGGTGGTGAATAGATCTATGAACTTGCTATGAATGGTGCATTATCGAGGGGGATATGCAAATTGAGTTGAGAGGCATTGGAGCAAAACATGGGAGGGCTGAATGAATATTGGAGTCAATATTTGAGGGCTCGATCTTGTTGCAGTCACAAGACCTCCGATCGGGTCCCATCTGTTGTCCAAATGCCCTTGATTCGTCATCGTACTGGGGTGCGTGACACCACCTCGAAAAGAGAGGGCTAACGTTGGCCGTAACAGAAGCACACACACACACACCCCCTAGCACCTTACCACTCACTTACCAACAGATCCAACCCCCACCATGGCCGAACGTCAAAATTCGGACCCAGGAGGGACATCTGACAGTCACCCGACGCCAACACATCAAATGCTCAACAATTGGTCGAACCTCAACGCCATACAGCTCTCTCTCCACGGCCAAGCAGACGTAGTAATGGAGACCAACACCCTCTGGCCTAGAACAGACCCCACAGAAGACGACCAGCAAACCATCGGCAACGTCACTGAAATGATGGGGGACACACTAGACGGACTCGCCCTCATTAGAGATACAGGCATATGGAACCACATCAGCAAAAAATTGTTATGCTCCTGAGTGCTCCAGAGTATGGGGAGCACTGGGAGAATCAGGAGGAGATTGGCCGGTCCAGGAACAGCTTGTTTCCTCCGGAGTTGGTCAGGTACTCCAGGGCACTCCCAGGAGGGCATGGAGCATTGCTTTGTGCACAAACATATCCAGTAAATACAATTTAATGCTTCAAAATGTATAGGGGTGAGAAGCTTCTGGGAGCTCCTGGAGCATTTGAAAATGAGAAGGAAAAAAAAGAGGGAAGACTCCCCATGAATACCTCCTCCTACCACAAGACTAACACAACAAGACACTACTTAACATTTAGATCAAATACTATACTATACATCAAGGACACTGAGACTCACCAATACACAGTCAAAATTTATGGCCTGATATATGATTAATCTGGCAACTTAATCACTTTCGGACTTGCAGAATATGGAGGAGGGGGAAATGGGGGAGAATGAGGGGGGAAATGAGGGGGAAATGAGGGGGAAATGAGGGGGAAATGAGGGGGGAAATGAGGGGGAGAATGAGGGGGAAATGAGGGGGAGAATGAGGGGGGAATATAGAGGGAAATGAGGAAAATTTGAAAAATAGGGACTTCTAAAAAGTTGAAAAAATAATTAGGGAAAAAATCAAAAAAAATTCAGGAACTGTAGTGCCTTTGAAGTGCTTTCAGGATATATAACTATTTGCGAAATTGAGGAAGAAATGATGGAGAAAAATGGAAAATACTTTCGGAGACCCGAGAAATAATGAGAACTGAATTGATGGGAAAGTCTGAAAATTGAATGGGAAAGTGAGGGGAAGCCTTGCAGCATCGTTATTTGTTCTAATTTTTCCTGATTCTTCTTGGTCTCACTCCCAGCTGCTCCTGGATACTCCTGGAAGCTCCTGGGAGGGTCCAGGAGCAGCTAATGGAAAATACTTTCAGGGACCCAAGAAATAATGAGAACTGAATTGATGGGAAAGTCTGAAAATTGAATAGGAAAGTGAGGGGAAGCCTTGTAGCATTGTTATTTTCTGCTGTTGTGATTTTTCCTGATTCTTCTTGGTCTCATTCCCAGCTGCTCCTCAATACTCCTGGAAGCTCCTGAAAGCTCCTGGGAGGGTCCAGGAGCAGCTGGGAGTGAGACCAAGAAGAATCAGGGAAAATCACAACAGCAGAAAATAACAATGCTACAAGGCTTCCCCTCACTTTCCTATTCAATTTTCAGACTTTCCCATCAATTCAGTTCTCATTACTTCTCGGGTCTCCGAAAGTATTTTCCATTTTTCTCCATCATTTCTTCCTCAATTTCGCAAATAATTATATGTCCTGAAAGCACTTTAAAGGCACTATAGTTCCTGAATTTTTTTTGATTTTTTTCCCTAAATTTATTTTTTTCAACTTTTAGAGACCAAAATTTTCCTCCCACTGCTCCTGGCACATTGCATACTCCTCACCACTCCCAGCCGCTCCTGAACCCCCTCCCAGGAGAACACTATTGGCTCCAGGAGTGCCCAATCTGCTGTTTTGTCTCCCACATGCTCCAGCCACTCCTGATGCTCCGGAGCATAACGGACTTTTGCTGATGCACCTGCACCACTTCAAGAGCTGGCTCCAGGAGATACTGGCGCTGGACACCAAGAACACGAAACCGGGCGCAGCTGAGTCCAACCCTAATAACCTCACCGCGCTAAACGACATTCTCTTAGAACTAACACAAAGAGTCCATACACTAGAACTTGGACAAAGCGCACACCACACCGCACCGCTCACCGCCCTGCCCAGAGACCCGGAGACTGCAGCCACTCCCATGTCGGCACCCAAAACAACATGGGCGAGCGTGGCAGCCAGACCCCCCGAATGCCCATCCCAGCCGTCATGGTCAACAACCAAAACCAAAACGACACGACACCACGCCCAACCGAACCCACCTCAACAGCCGACCCGAGATGTCTTATCATCCAGCTGAACCCCCCGATCAAACTAGAAGACCGCCCGAGCGGCATCGTAACATGAGAGAAGATCAACGATCTCCTAGAGAAGAAAAACGTCCCGCACTACCTGAGAGTGATGGCCATTGGATACTCGGTAGCGGGTAATATCAAAATTACGTCAGCCCCGACATGTAAAGCCTCCGACCTCATCGCCTTCGGACCTCCTATTACTCATCACGGGACTATAATAATATGTACCTATAGGGGGCCCACCTGACCTACTCTCTTAGATATAGAGATGCTCCTTGAGTGCACGCACCCGTGCACTGGTGCAACGATCAGTACATAATACTATATATACTACTCTCCGGGGTACCGTGACCTGAAAATCCGGAAAACCCCTCCATGCCGCAACTCCTTCGGAGTTCACCGTCACACATCACCCCGCCAACATCTCCGGACCCGTTGTCACCGTCATCGATGTCGTCGACGACATTGCCAACACTTATTTTTCAAAATCACTGTTCCCTTATAAACTTCACTAATACACAACTTCCCTTGCTTCCTTTCCTTTTCATTTCGTCGGCATTGGCTTCGTCTTTGCCGTCCTTGCCATTTTCCGAACTAGGTACTATGTAAATACATGGCATAATAAAGTCCTTCAGACAAAGTCTAAATCAAGGCTCTCCAAAGCACTGGCGATTCGACCGATCAGGCGATGAGACTCCTCAACCTCCTCATTCTCAGTTTCCAGCCCCCCATCCGCCATCCCACCATCGATATCATCAGAGGGTATGAGATTGGTGGTTGAGCTGGGCAGTGTCGTGGAGGGGGTTTCATTGGGTGGTACTAATAGAATGGTCAGAACCATTACAAATGCCCTAATGGATACACTTACTGTTTGGTGGGTTGCTATTCGTGTTTTCTGGGCTGCCACAAGTGTCAGGGCTCGCTGGTGGTCCGCTCGTCGTCCCTTCCCCATCACCAGTTAAAAAATGTGCGAGCTTATCCAGCTGGGCGAGTTTGGAATGTAGGTGCGCATTGACATTGAGGCGGTATTGGGAAGTAGCGGAAATATATCTTGCCAGAGTGGGATTGGTCGATCGAGTGTTCTCAATGGCACCTCGCAGCCAAGCCTCCTCATTTTCCATTGAGGTCCATACCCAACGAGTTTCAAGTCTGACAGTGTCAATCTCTTCACGGGCTCGTTGAAGCTTATGCCAAGCTCGGGTGGCCTTGCAGAGAAGGGGCTTTGCCCATGGTTTCTCACGTACATCGTCATGGCCCCGTAAAATCACAATATCTGATATGAACTCGAGGCTGGTTACATCCTCCCAACTGAGTCTCGGCTTCGGGGGATCCATGGTGGACGCAAGATTGTTGTATTTCTCTAGTGTCGAGTTAAGTGTCTTGCCCCGCTTTGCCACTAAAGATAGGATTTGCTGGTGAGCCTTGTAATCTGGAATAAAAATTGTACTCTGAATGGGGCAGGGAAAGAAGTCGGCTGTCACACACCTGTCCTTGGAAGTCCCATCTTCTCAACTTCAAACTGACGCGATATTGCACAATGCTCGAGATCATCAAGGAGGTGATTATAATCCCTCTGCTGGCGCAGAGTGATTGCTTCAAGCCGCTCAGGAGAACCAGGCACCCAAGGTCGTGTACGAGACATGGCCAGTAGAGCTAACCCCAACGCTGCCAGAGCGGCGCGTGCACTCTCAACAGCTTTGTTTGCCTCTCGCAAATGTCGGTCAGCATGTTGGGGTGGTAGCCTAGCCTGGACAGCTATTTGCGCTATCCAGTAGCGTATGGTTTCCCTGAAGGTAATTTGTGAATGTTTATGTTTATGAACTAGAATTATACCCACTCTGCACGCTCAAGATGCTCTGTGGCCTCTAAATACACGACCTTCGTCTTTTCATCTTGGGGCTCAAACTGAAGTGAGGATATGTAGTTGCGCTCTTCATCCAGCCATTGTGGGCATTGCACATCAGGTTCAAAGTTGGGGTCCATCTGCCTTGTTGTCTCAAGGATTTCTAGGCTTTCTTGAACTATTCTCCATGCCGTTGTGTGGTTGTTCAATAAGAAGTCACCTACTTGTGAGGGGTAAGGAAGTGTTTGGCATATTTATTGAATGGATGACATACCTAGACGCTCATACTTTGTTTCATCCCACTTCACAAAATGCATATGAATCCGGAGATGCCGATAGTATGGTGACGCATGTTGGGTTACCGGTGCGAGGGAGTTGCTCTCAGAATATACTCGTTCGTTGCCTTCGCCATCTTCAATTCCAGCTCCCTGCTGTAGCCCTATGAGGAAATCGAGCTGGCAGAGTCTGTTGTGAGCGGCACCGTGGAAAGAACCAGTACAACACCTAAATTTTGCTTCTCGTACCATATCACCAATGGAAGACTTGGAAAGGGTAGCTGAAAATGTGCAGCCAATATCGTATGCAAATAGAATGTTGTGGCTGAACGTCCGTATGAGTTGATCAGCGGCAGCGATTGGATATTTGGCTCTGCTAGGTACGTCAATTCTCATCAACAAAGTACATCACATTACTCACAACTCCCCACTCTGGACCATGTCGATAAGGAATTGGACGATACCATGTTGGCAAACGACAGAGAAAAGTCCTGTCTCATCCATGAGTTGCATGGCACCCGACTTCGACTTCAAGGGCATTGGCCGAGCATTCTTCCATGCTAGGCAGCTGTCAGATATAAATGACGACTCTGGGCCATCCATCTCACAAGTCGCACATATTACTGAGTGAACTAAGGAAGAGGAATGTTCATACCTGGCTACCACATTGTGAATGTTTTCGAGTGTCAGCAAAATTATTGACCTGTTCTCGGGGAATGAAGTAGTCACTGGGAAAGACTCGGGCGTCGGTGGCAAAATTGTGGCACAGCCTTGAGAGGGAGGTATTCCCATCAGCTGTGACAATGAGCTGAATGGGGTGTTCGGGCTCATCTTCAACCTAAAAATGATGATGAAACTTGGGCTTACCCTTTGCTAGATCAAAATCGGATACTTACCTTACAGTGACAAGCAGGGCAGGAATTTTTGAGACGATAATTGGGCCCCACCTGACCTACAGCTTGTTTGACGAGTTTATCCAGGTGGAAGAATATCCGATAGAAGATATCGAAAGCAAGTGAGATTTGGGTTCTTAAGTAGGGCTGATATACCATCTCAATTTGCAGTCAGCTGCAGATGCTGGAAAAACACCATAAATAGCTTACCTTGTGTATGTCAGAAACCACCCGGGTAAAATGTTGAATACTGAAAGCGGGCGCTGCTTGGAAAAGAGAGTATAACAGTTCGAGCGATCGCAGGGAGATCGCAATTTGGGGCTCTGTTGGAGTAGGGGATAGATAGCCGGCACGCACCAGCGTGTATGTAGGATGGATGTCTGTCTCCTGCCTGGGTATGTATTCAAATGAACTACCATCTGAATATCGGTTAATCACGTACAGGGAGGTGAAAGGAAAGGCTTACCAAATATGTCAAGGCACTTGATGTAAACGTAATTGAGGTTGTCTTGGGGCAGGGGATAGTGAGATGGTGTTGTCAGGGACGCGTCCGGGGTCGAGAGGGCCCGGGGGTAATGTCCGGCACTGAGGCCGTCGTGGGGTGTGGAGCGGGCGTGCGTACTGGCGGGCCCGATCTGGGACAGTGGTCCCTGGCCACTCAGACTGAAGTGGAGAATGTGAGAAGAAGGTTACTTCTTCGGTTCCCACTTCAGGTACATTTATGTACATGCGGCTTGAGTCACATGACGGGTGCCATGTCATCCTCGGGGGCAGCCGCAGGCATCCGGGTGTCCCCGTGGGGGATCCCGAGAGCGTCTGCTGCATGCGTGCGTGCTGGGCACAGCGGGAAGCCGTCCGGGGTGTGTGGGCTGGACGGGTCAATAGTACATCGATACAAAGGAAGGTGGTCCGTGTAGATAGAAAGAAATAAACAGGAAGAGGAAGATGAGAAGAATGAAATAAAGAAAGGAGAAAGAAGAGGGAGGAAGGAGGAGGGAGGGGGATAGACAGCGGGGAGCGGGTGTGGTGTGGCCGGGTGGGTCCGGGTGGACCCGGGTCAGGCGGGTGTGCCCTGACATCACCCCCTCCTTAAGCCGCTTCGCCTCGAAGCGGCCAGGGGGTTCGTTCTCTCCCTTCCTGGGGTGTGGGGGTGTGTTTGGTGGAACTCCTCGATCCGGTCAGGGGCATGGATTAGTTGGTCTCGGGGGAGCCATTCATTCTCTGAGTTCGGCCAACCTGCGAACTTTACTAAATACCGGAGCTTCCAGCGTAACCACTTAGAGTCCAGTATTTTTTCCACTTCATATTCCTCCTCTCCATCTACAAGTTCTGGGCCCGGGCGGGGGTCGGGGGGTCGTTCTGCAATCTCGTCCGGGCGGTAGGGTCTTGTCAGGGCACACCCGCCTGACCCGGGTCCACCCGGACCCACCCGGCCACACCACACCCGCTCCCTGCTGCCCAACCCTCTCCCTCCTCCTTCCTCTGTCTCCCCTCCCCTTTCCTTTCTCTCTTTCTTCCCCTTTCTTTATCTCATTCCTCTCATCTTCCTTTTCTTGTTTATTTCCTTCTATCTACATGGACCACCTTCCTTTGTATCAATGTACTATTGACCCGTCCGGCCCACACACCCCGGACGGCTCCCCGCTGTGCCCAGCATGCGCGCATGCAGCGGACGCTCTCGGGATCCCCCGCGGGGATACCCGGATGCCTGCGGCTGTCTCCGAGGGTGACGTGGCACTCGTCATGTGACTCAAGCCGCATGTACATAAATGTACCTGAAGTGGGAACCGAAGAAGTAACCTTCTTCTCACATTCTCCACTTCAGGTAAGTAGTATAGTTTTCCCTTTTAATAACAATAACACATTCTCCACTTCAGTCTAAGTGGCCAGGGACTGCTGTCCCTTCCCGGACCTGCCAGCATGCGCGCCCGGTTTGCACCCCACGAGGGCCCTTCTGCCAGGCGATACATCCGGACCCCCTCTACCCCGGACGCGTCCCTGACAGCAGAAGAAGGTTTCAACCTCATCTCCCCTGCCTCCCCCATCTCCCCTGTCTCCCCAGCCATGGTGTCAGAAGAGCAGTATGAAGAACTGCTGGCTCGCTTCCAAGAGCTCCAAGCCATTGTGGAGAGCCAGGCCCGCAACCACCCCCCACCCGCACCTGCACCCGCACCCGCCCCCGCGCCTGCCCCCGCACCCGCACCTGCACCTAGACCCAAACCACCTAAGGTTGCCCCCCCCACTCCCTTCTCAGGAGCTAGCGAGGACCTCGACCGTTTTAAGGCCGAGTGCGGGATTTATTTCCACGTTCGCGCAGCTGAGTTCCCCACCGCCCTCTCCCAGATCCTTTTCGTGTTGTCTTACATGAAAGGAGGACCCGCAGGGGCATGGGCCATGCAATGCACAATCACGCTGCTGACGGCCGGCTCCCCCCCCCTCACCATGGACGAGTTCAACACAGAACTTGATGCCATGTTCCAGGACCCGAACCGGGAGGCCACAGCCAGACAGAAGCTGGCAGCCATCTGCCAGGGAAGCGACTCCATGGACAAAGTGATCCAGGAGTTCGAGATATTGGGACCCGCCTCAAGGCTGGGTGACGTAGGACTAGTCGACCGCTTCGAGCAGGCGATTAACTCCCGCCTCCGGGAGAGCATATACCGGCTCCGCCCCATGCCCACTACCTGGGCCGAGTGGAAACGCGAAGCCACGCTCCTGGACAACCAGTGGCGATGGTTCCAGGCCACTCAACCACGCGTGTTCCCACCCAAACCCACGCTCCCGCCAACTCGACCATCGTCGATCATGACCCCACCACAGGCACGACCCACGCCCGGGCCCCCACGACTTGCACCACTGCCTCCATCCTCCACCCCAGTAGCCCGCCCCACAACAGGGACAGGCCCCCAACCGATGGACCTCGACCGCTCGAGGACTGACCAAAGACGGTGCTACAACTGTAACACCCAAGGGCACATCCTACGAGACTGCCCACACCCCAGAGTCCGCCGGGCGTGACGTCTCCACCCTGAGGATCTTTGGGCGCTGATGGAAGGGCTGAAGAGGCAGTTAACTGAAGAGCCAGAGACGGAAGGGACAGAGCCAGAGACGGAGGCTCAGGGGGATTTTCAGGAAGGCGGCCGGTGAGGGATGCGTCCCGGGCGCCTGTAGAAGATAACTCGTGTAAATACCGCAGCACGCGTGAGTCAACGCCAATGCCAAAGCTTCACCGAGTTATTGCCAAGAAGAGGAGAAAAAACGCATCCTCGACCCGTGAGAGTAAGAGAACCATAGAGACGGCACCCGAAGTGGCAGTATCCCCGCCAGCCATCTATGTCCTCTCCAAGCAATCCCCCAGATCCCTCAACCTTATGGTGAAACTAACCGCCCTGACCTCCCTTGCGTCAGTGTCGGTATCAGCCCTCCTAGATTCAGGAGCCACTGGGAACTTCGTAAGCCCTGAGTTCGTCCGGAAGCACAAGCTCGAGACAACCCCCCTCCCGCAACCCATTCCCGTCCGTAACGTTGACGGAACCCCAAACGAGAATGGAGCCATAACCAAAGAGTTGGAAGCCCTCTTGACGTTTGGGCGACACACAGAGTGCGCCCGCTTCGCGGTTGCAAACCTGGGACGACAGTCCCTCATCATAGGGCACTCGTGGCTGCTACACCACAACCCAGAGGTAGACTGGGCTCGACAGAAAGTCGTCATGTCCCGCTGCCTGTCCGCCTGTAGACAGCCGCGAGCACGAAACGACCAGGACCCTGTACTAGAGCTGGGGGATGGGATCTACGCTGCAATCATCCCCTCCGGCTGGGGAAACGACCTAAGGGCCACCACGACCCCCTCTCAGCGGATGGCCCAGGAGGCCGGTGACCCGGACGCAGAGCCCGCATCGTTCGAGACGCTGGTGCCAGAGCACTACCAGGACTTCCGGGATGTGTTCTCAAAAGAGGCCTTCGACCAGTTGCCCCCCCGGAAGCCCTGGGATCACGCTATAGACCTGGTACCAGATGCCAAACTGCCCAGAGGGAAGACCTTCCCCCTCTCGCGCCCGGAGCAGAAAGAACTGGACGAGTTCCTGTGCGAGAACCTGCAGAACGGGCGGATACGACCGTCTAAGTCTCCGATGGGTGCACCAGTCTTCTTTGTCAAGAAGAAGGACGGATCGCTGCGCCTGGTACAGGACTACCGGAAGCTGAACGAGATCACCGTGAAGAACTCGTACCCACTCCCACTCATCTTGGACGTCCTCGCCTGCCTCCGGAATGCCAAATACTTCTCTGCCCTGGACTTGTGCTGGGGGTTTAACAACGTCCAGATCAAAGATGGGGACGAGTGGAAGGCAGCATTTGCGACCAACCGAGGGCTGTTCGAGCCTATGGTAATGTTCTTTGGGCTGTGTAACTCCCCCGTGACTTTCCAAACTATGATGAATGACATCCTTAGGGATTTCATCGACCAGGAAGTCATTATCTGCTACATGGACGACATTCTCATCTTCACGGCCACCCTGGAGGAGCACCGGAAGGTCGTCCGAGAAGTCCTGGAGACGCTGCGAAAGAGGAGGCTCTTCCTGAAGCCAGAAAAATGCAAGTTTGAGCGGACCCGGATCGAGTACCTCGGCCTCGTCATCTCGGAGGGTAGCGTTGCCATGGACCCCATAAAGGTCCGTGGAGTCCTTGACTGGCCAACCCCAACCAAAGTGAAGGAAGTGCAGTCCTTCCTGGGGTTTGTGAACTTCTATCGCCGGTTCATCAAAGACTTCTCTGAGAAGGCACGCCCACTCCACAAGCTGACCCGAAAGGCCCAAACCTGGAACTGGGGCACGGACGAAGACGACGCTTTCCGTGCCCTCAAAGAAGCTGTCACCACTGCCCCAGTTCTCTCCTTCCCCTCCGACTCCGGCCGCTTCAAACTCGAATGTGACGCCTCCAACTTCGCAACCGGTGCGGTCCTCTCCCAACTCCAACCTGACGGGGAGTTCCACCCGGTGGCATTCATGTCCAAGAGCTTTACGGACGTGGAACGTAACTACGAAGTGTATGACAAAGAGATGCTCGCGATCGTCCGAGCCCTTGAGGAATGGCGACACTTCCTAGAGGGTGCTGAAGAGAAGGTCGAGGTCTACACCGATCACCGCAACCTGGGGTACTTCCGGATGGCCCAGAGGCTAAATCCCCGCCAGGCCCGATGGTCCCTATTCCTCTCCCGCTTCCACTTCACCCTCGTCCATTGCCCTGGGAAGCTCATGGGAAAACCGGACATGCTCTCCCGCCGTGCTGACCACCCGAAAGGGAAAGACGACAACGAAGGGTTGACCCTCCTCCAACCAGCCTGGTTTGAAGCCCGTGCAACAGAGGGATTCTCGTTGGAAGGTGAGGAGGTAGGCATCTTAGATCGGATATGCAGGGCAAAAGACCATGATGAGAGGGTAGTAAAAGCCATGCGAGAACTGGGAGAGGGGACGCTAAGGTCGGATGAATGGGAAAGGCAAGGCAAATTGGTCTTGTACCGGGGAAGGGTATACGTCCCAAAAGACCCCCAACTCCGCCACGACGTAGTGAGGCTACACCACGATGCGCGGGCGACAGGGCACCCGGGGCGGTGGAAAACCCTGGAACTTGTCTCCCGCGACTACTGGTGGCCCTGGATGGTGGAGTATGTCGGGTGGTATGTACGCGGGTGCGACACCTGTAACCATGTCAAATCCTTCCCCTCACGAAAGGTTGGGAAGCTTACCCTGAACAAAGTCCCTACCTGTCGTTGGCAGGTAATTTCAG